CAGGGTTCCTCAACCTCAGCAACTTTAAGATGGGTGGACTTCAACTCCCAGAATTCCCCAGCCAGCCATTGAAGTCCACCCATCTTAAAGTCGCTGAGGTTGAGAAACCCTGGCCTAAATGAAAATGGTAGCTCCTTATTTGATGTATATTCAAATAAATTCAGAATGGCCAGAGAAATTGGCCTACAGTTTAAACACACACACAATAAAAACAAATACATCTAAATGCAAGGAATAAAGTAATAGATCTTTAAAGATACCTGACTAGAGATGGGTCTTTACAGATTCCCTATAGGCAGAGAGGTGGGTCAGGGTTCAAGAACAACTCTTGAAGGAATGCATTTGATAGCCTGGGAGCACCAACAAACCTGTGCCTGACAAATGGATACTGCAGGCCTTTTCTGAAGATAGCTCACTCCATTCACAAGGCAAAGGGAAGGGAAATAAATTAAGGCTCCGACCCTATATACCAGAAGAGGGAAAGGTGCCCCCCTCCATGGGTCCCTAACAACGCCCAGCAGCCCCAGCCCATACCGCCAATACTGCAAGGAAGAGCACAGCTCTCCGCACTTTCTGTGCAAAGCTTACACGAGAATAGGATGAGGTCAGCTAAGACCAGGTCTCTCCTGGACCCCACTGTCAAACTTGAATGAAGATCAGGAAGAGAATATCTAGACCTATTTAATACAGGAGGCACCTTTGAGACCAAGGCCTGGATAGATCCTGGCCGTCAAAAGCCAACAAGAAGCAAAGCATCTTTGGAATCTTCTCCACGGTATTCGGACTCTAGCCAGTCCTTAAGACAAAAGAGCAAACTGAAGAGACTGATCCCATGACCTCAGCTTTGTGGCACCGTGCAAAAGGGACTGACCCCAGGGATCTGGAGACAAAGAAATTGAATTGCAAATCGGGACTAATGTTAGAAAGGAAGCGTTGTGTTTTGGCAATCAAATCTCGGAAGAAGATTGTTTTGTCCTTCTCTCTGAACAACTGGAACACCAGGAAATGCTAAATATCTTCATCCAACTTGATGGGGCACAATTCTACCCAAGGGTCCAGTTCCAATGCAGAGTTTTTGTGTGAGTTTGGTTTCTGCCAGCAGGGTGCTTTTCTGCTCTATCAAAATGCCCCCAGTTAAAAAATGTTTTGGAGAAGATGATCTAATTTTGCTCCTTATACCACAAACATTCATTTGGAAAGTAAGGTTCCTATGAATCGTGAAAGACCTCTGCCAACCAGCATGGACTAGTATTTTTATTTGTAAATAGAAGTCACATATGAGACATCCATTGCCCCTGAAATGCTGCATCACTGTACAAAATCAGAACCACAAGACTCTTCCAAAACCAAAATGGAATGAGAAAAAAGAAAAAAAGCTTGCTAATCAACATCTATCAAGGTTTAGCTGTCATCATAAAACAAAAAGGAAATAAACATCTGAAAGGGGCGTTTAGCACTGAAAAAGAAGGTATTTTGATGAATCTCATTTCAATTAGAACAATGCTGACTGTTCTCTTTTCACAATGCAGCTTGTTAACACGGCACTCCTGTGTTTTTCTTTCAGGATCACAGTTGCCATCAGCAAAGAAGAGAAACATATGGCAAAAAGATTGTTTCCGCCTTTTCAAGCTGCTTCACGGGGAACAACACGCCTGTAAACAGAAGCCCTGCATTCTGTGAAATCAATCCATTGCTTAAAAATATTATTGACAGACTAAAGCAGAATCATTATATCCATGTAGCTATGCAGGCATAAAAAGCAGGATTTGCAGGAAAATATTTCCTTCCTGTCCCCCTCCTTCCATTTTACTTTTCCAAACCAAGTCCTTGCGCACATTCTTTTCTTGTTTTCTTTTTCCAAGTGCCCATTTTTGTGGGCATATACTATCAGAGCAGGTTATTAGAAAGTGACACTTAGAAAAATTTGCAAATGTGAAAATTCCTCTTCAGGTGCCCAGCTGGGGGGATGTGCCAGTATCATCTGAGAAGAAATTGCATGTTCTCTTCCTTCAAAAGCATTGCTTTCATGATGTGCAATTTAATTCCCATTTTAAAAAGCAAATAGAATCCCATTAATTATTTTTTCTGATCAGGTATCAGCTCTGGTAAGCAGGTAACTTATACACCCAACCTTTTTTTTTTAGAAACACTGGGCACAATCCAACAATGTAAACTTTACACAAATCTTTCTTGCATTCTGGAGTAAACAATTCAGCACCCACCCGAACCATTCATGGCTTATTTTCTACTTTACTGTATACTTGTACTTTATATGGCCTTATTTCTACACTGCCTAGAGGCAGTTCATAAATCTTCTGAGTAAATAAAGGAAGCATCTAGCTCTGCTTTCTGATCTGTCCTTCTGCAAATGTTCACTCCTCATTGCATTTCTGGATTGTACCCAGCATGTCCAACAGCAAAACCAATGTTTGCAAGAATACGATTGCTTTAATGCATTCAGTTGCATAATAATTTATGTATCTAAATAACAGATCAATACAAATGAGAATATATTTTAAATTCTTTATTTAGAGCAATCTTAGGTGCCTTTCAAAACCTTTCAATGCCAAATGGACTGCAGATGAATTCTATCCGTCACACTTAACAGCACCTAAATAGATTTGTCTAGATTCTCTGAAGTGCACTTAATCAGAAGACTTTAGACTTACTTAATAAAAGCTTCCATGATGCACTTACAAACTTCTACTCTCACAGTCTCTTTCTGGAACATATCCAGGAACGGTAAGAATTTCTCCTAGGAAATCAAGGAAAATGTTAAGTTTAGAGCCCTATGCTCATATCTTTGTATAACTGAGGATGAAGTTGCTTTGTCATTGGCAAGGCACAGCTATGTTTGGGGCAAGTACCATGGAAATCAATGAAGATTGATGTGGGCTTTCTGCCTAAGACACAGTTGAGAGGACAACAATCAGTTGTTCAATTGAACCCAACTGTGTATTTGGAAGGCCAACAGTTTTCCAAATTCAGAGGACATGGAACACCAGCTAGTTGGAATTCCTTAACTCTGGGAAGGCAGCCAGGTGGCTGTTTGAGCTTCACTTAATATTCTGAGAGGAAAGACCAAACAGGCAGAGCATGTCATGCTCATGAGCAGAACTAGCATGTTTTGGACAGTTGTCCTGCTGATGGACAAAGCTGGACCCTTTTCCATGTAATTTCTTTCCAACGTTCCACCAGGTTGCAAGGAATAACAATGATGGTAAGCTTTTGGGTGAAAAATAGGGATATGCAAAGTTTTGAATTTGAACTCTTTGTAAAATCTGATATGCCCCATTTCAAATCTGAAACAGGCTGTTTTTGGAAGTCACCAGTTCTGTTCAAGTTCACTCCCTTAAGCTCAAAACATTTCCAAAACAAGCAATGTGGCCCTTTCCAAACTCGAAACTCCCATTTTGAACTCAAAACTGGGTGGTTTGAATTCAAGACAGTTCAAATTCAGAACCTTTTCTACCACTCCAGAAAGAAACAGTGCCAATGATTTATATCACCCCTTTCCTTCAAGTAACATACATGGTCTCTGCCTTCCATTATATTCTTACAAGAAATTCACAGGGAAGGTTGGCCTGAAAGACAGAAATTAGTTCAAAGTCCCCAGATGACCTCCAAAGCTGAATGGGAACTTGCCTCCCTGTCTTCAATCTGAGTCCAACATTCATTCCCTGCCAGAGGACTATATCCCCTGGAACTCCCTAGCCAATGTGGCCAACAGCTAAAAATTCTGAGTTGTAGCCCAACCAAACTAATGACCAGCAGAGGGAAACATCCTAACCACAGCAAAATCATGTCACTTTGGGGTAACCTTCCCCTTACAATAAACTTCCAGAGTTCATAAAAGATCTGAACACCCTTTTGAGAAAAGATAAACTTTATATTGCAGAATACCATACCTGCTTTGGAAG